CTGTAGTAAAAAAAATGCAATTATTGTACGATCCTAACTCATTTTTCTGGATTTTCTTCCCATTCCTCCTCATTCAAGTGTTTGTTGATTTCAAAAACTCAATGATTTTTTTTCTTAAAAACTTATCGAGTATATTGCAATAAAGACATGTTACTGTATGATTTGAGTATTTTTTATTGAAGAATCACACATAATAATATAATATATATAAAGAAAAGTGTGTATTAATTTTAATTATTAAAATAAATTAAAGTTTTAACGTTAAATTATATTGTTTTATTTAATTAAAATTTAATTTAAAATTTTAATTTTCAAATATATATTAAAATTTTAATTTTTTTTAGAGTTTTGATTAATATACACTAATATCATATATATATATATACACTTATTATTTAATACTACATAAAACTTAATATCCTTCTATGTTTTAACTTTAACACGTTGTGTGGCTATTTGCCTTCATTTATGTTAATTATAGTACTAGTTTTTTTTTTTTTTTTTGAAAAAAAATTAATACATATTTAATTAAATGAGAAATGAGAAAGGAAATTTATGGAGTTTAAACACGTAACATACATACGGAAGTGATCCCTACTAACTCAAGTTTAAGCCACTAAACCAGAGTTTTTTTTTTTCCCTCTAAACATAGTAGTAGTTTATTTTGATCAAAGAAATTATTTAAATGATCATTTATATTATAAAAAATTATACGAGGATGTTTTCAATTCAAAATAAAGAGTTTTATATTATGTCAATTCACTAACAAAAGTGTTTTTGTCATTTTTACGTTCATGTTATGAATTAATTAATAAATAAAAGGAGAGTATAGACCACTTGATTTGTAATATATATATATTAGAAATTAGTGCTAATAATAATCACTATTTTTTTAAAATATCAAAAATGTTATAATTATAATGTTACAAGCATATAATATAATATATTATTATATAATTAGTTCTTTTCATTTAAAAGTTTACCTGTAATATTATATGCATCCAATTGTTTAATATCATATCATATTTTATTACATGTCATATACATGACATTATAATCATAGCATTACTGTAAAAATATTACTTGAATTTACATTAAAAATATTAAGATAATATAGATTAAGAGATTGTATAGTGGAGCTTATTTTTTAAGTTGTTAATAAGCTCCTCCAAACAAAATAGGTATAAAATATTTGTAAAGTATAAAAGAGAGGTCATGATGCACTTTTTTCACTGGAATACAAAGGCAAGGTCATGATGCATTGAGTAATCATGCCGTGTACAGGATGGCAAATATATATATATATATATATAAAAGATTAGTGGATATTACTTTTGTTTTAAAAAAAAAAAGTTAAAATCTTAATTTATATTCAAAAGTTAAAATTTTAATTTTAATTTTAAAATTTTATCTTATTAAATATTATTATCTAAATTTGAAAAT